AAACAACAAACCCAGAAGATAAAGATTTGTATATTTGAACATTCTCATGTTAAAGATGATGTAATCTTTGGAACATTATTTCTTAATTAATTGATATATGGCTTCAAAACGAATTTGATAAAAATTGCCAGTTGTATACGCAAATCCTAAAACGTGTGTGCTTGGAAGCTGCTCCTTAAGCTAAAGCTGAGCATCTCCTTCACTCTCTCTCTTCATTATCCCCTTCTCTTTCTAAAACCTCTGGGGTTCTTGTTAAAGATGACATCTTTGCTCACAAATCCCGACCCGATTACTATACCCCTCGTCTCCAAGCTTTGCTCCTTTCCTTCGCAACGGAGGCTCTTCTCGCTCAGGCTCAGGCGCTCCTCCTTAGCGAAGATCACCCGGAATTCATCATCTCTTCTTCCGCTGGTCGCTGTTTCCTCCCTCTCCGCTACTGCCGCAAAACCAACCAGATGGAGAGAGAAGCCGGAGTTAGCGGAAAGCGACTCAATTTCCCTCCTCAACGAGAGGATTCGGCGTGACCTCGGCAAGAGAGAGACCGCTAGGCCAGCCATGGACTCTGAGGAGGCCGAGAAGTACATCCAGATGGTGAAGGAACAACAAGAGAGGGGTCTGCAGAAGCTTAAAGGATTTAGGCAAGGTACAGAGGCTGCTGGTGCGGGTGGTTTTAGCTACAAGGTTGACCCTTACAGTCTCCTTTCCGGTGATTATGTGGTGCACAAGAAAGTAGGCATTGGGCGTTTTGTTGGCATTAAATTTGATGTCCCCAAGGATTCCTCAGAGCCCCTCGAATATGTCTTTATAGAGTATGCAGATGGCATGGCCAAGCTTCCCCTCAAGCAGGCCTCACGTTTGCTCTACCGATACAATCTGTACGTCTTCCCTCTTTCTTATCTTCATCTCCTAGTTTTTTACTTGCTTGGGAAATGTGTTTGTTTGGTGCCGTAGCTATCTTCCTTTTCTATATTAAAAACTCCTTGCCGTCCATGTCTTTGTCTCTTACTGTATGTTGATGTCATATTGTGTCCTGTTCCAGTCCAAATGAGACCAAACGGCCTCGGACTTTGAGTCGGCTGAGTGACACTAGTGTTTGGGAAAGAAGAAAGACCAAAGGAAAGGTAGCAATTCAGAAAATGGTCGTTGACTTGATGGAGCTATATCTTCATAGGCTTAGACAGAAGAGATATCCTTATCCAAAAAACCCCATCATGGCTGATTTTGCGGCTCAGTTTCCTTATAACGCTACACCCGACCAGAAGCAGGTATTGCTGTTATCTTTTAGTTGTCATCATTTATTTTCCTTTATTTAAACTGAGTTTCCCTTCTAGGCTTTCTTGGATGTTGAGAAGGATTTGACAGAGAGAGAAACACCTATGGACCGATTGATCTGTGGAGATGTTGGGTTTGGTAAAACAGAGGTTGCTCTACGAGCCATCTTTTGTGTGGTTTCAGCTGGAAAACAAGCTATGGTTTTAGCACCAACAATTGTACTGGCGAAGCAACATTACGATGTAATCTCAGAGCGGTTTTCCTTGTATTCACAAATCAAAGTGGGCCTTTTAAGTCGGTTTCAGGTATTGAGATCACTGTTTCTTCTATAAATTTTTCTAGATGCAAACTGGTTAACTCTTCACATGTTTAAAAAAAAAAAATCTTTAGTGGTTGTGGGTTACATGTTGTCTGCTGAGTGTAAGTTGTTCATGGTTTTACCTGGAATTGACCATACTCACATCTTCGACATTGTGCAGACCAAAGCAGAAAAGGAGGAGTATTTGGAAATGATAAAAAGTGGACATCTCAATATCATTGTGGGTACTCACTCACTTCTCGGGAGCCGTGTTGTGTACAGTAACTTAGGCCTCCTCGTGGTTGATGAGGAACAGGTTCTCTTCTTATTCGTTGAAGATAAGTTGTTTATGCCATAATCTCGGAATGATACTTGAATTAGTTGATGATAATCTTTTCTAACTTAACAGAGATTTGGGGTCAAGCAGAAAGAAAAGATTGCATCTTTCAAAACATCGGTAGATGTGCTTACATTATCCGCAACACCCATACCAAGGACACTGTACTTAGCTTTGACTGGATTCCGGGATGCTAGGTTGGGACATGATGTGTTTCAGATTATATACTCACTGATAGAATTTGATGAGACTAATAAGCCTTTGTTTCATTTTTGTTTTAGTTTAATCTCCACACCGCCTCCGGAGAGGATTCCAATAAAAACCCATCTTTCATCATTCCGTAAGGAAAAGGTGATAGAAGCAATTAAAAACGAGCTGGATCGTGGTGGCCAAGTTTTCTATGTCTTGCCTCGGATTAAAGGTAGAATGCATGATAAGATTTTTTGTTTCGCTTTATTATCTCTTAATATGACTACCTTTGCTCTTGATCGTAACTCAGGGACTAGTATAATCAGAAACTTCTTGACCATGGAATATTTTTTTTTCTCCTTGTCAGCCTTTATATTTTCCCATCGATTTACCACTTTATTCATCCTTATCAGGACTAGAAGAAGTGATGGATTTTCTTGAAGAAGCATTTCCAGATATTGACATTGCTATGGCACATGGAAAGGTATGTTGTGGCCTTTCTTAGCAGTACTTGACATTTGGATGCACATTCATACGATATAGCACATTTCATGGAATCCTCCTAAGCACTGTTGTTGCCATCCTGCTACATTGATGTATCCACAGCAATACTCGAAGCAACTAGAGGAAACAATGGAGAGATTTGCACAAGGAAAGATCAAAATCCTCATATGTACCAATATTGTTGAAAGTGGACTTGATATTCAAAATGCAAATACCATAATCATTCAGGATGTTCAACAATTTGGGCTCGCTCAGTTGTACCAGGTGCCAAAGTTACTTGTTTGCTTTTTGTTGTAGTTATGTTTCACAACAAAAGGTGAATAGCATCTTAGAAATCTTCCTTGTGTTGCGGTCAACAGTTGCGAGGAAGGGTTGGTCGGGCGGATAAAGAAGCTCATGCCTACCTATTTTATCCCGATAAATCGCTACTCTCTGATCAAGCACTGGTATTGAGGGTGACTTAATTTGTTCTATTCCCTTGGCAGACGCTGGCATGTAATATATAAGCTGACTATGCAGGAAAGGCTTAGCGCTCTTGAAGAGTGCCGTGAACTTGGACAAGGTTTCCAACTTGCGGAGAGGGATATGGGTATAAGAGGTTTTGGGACAATCTTTGGAGAGCAACAGACGGGGGATGTTGGAAATGTCGGTATCGATCTCTTCTTTGAAATGCTTTTTGAGAGTCTGTCCAAGGTATATAATGATTAAAGTCTCCTTCTACATTCTCACTGATTATGACACTGATGAGCCTTTTTTTTATCTTTATAAAATTAGGCTTGGTTATTGACTTGTGAGTCAATCTTGTTGGTTGTTTCTAGGTGGAGGAACTTCGTATTTTTTCAGTTCCATATAACCTTGTGAAGGTATGTTCTATTTCAACTGGTAAGAAAGGTTTTGCTTTAGATTAAAAATGACATAAGATCAGAATGTTTCCAAGTGTAGCATGAAGGCCAGATATGATAGTTTTAGGTCTCTTACTTGTGCAGGAGTAACTGGAGAACTTCAAATTTCAGTGCAGTTGTTATGCCTCGAACTGTAGTAATTGATGCCTTTCTAATTCCTCATTTTGCTCTGTTTTCCAGATTGACATAAATATTAATCCCCGGCTTCCCTCAGAGTATGTAAATTATCTGGAAAATCCGATGGAGATCATCAATGAAGCTGAAAAAGCAGCTGAGAAAGATATGTGGAGTCTAATGCAATTCACAGAGAACCTGCGACGCCAATATGGGAAAGAACCTTACTCCATGGAGATTATTTTAAAGAAGCTGTATGTGAGACGCATGGCAGCTGATCTGGGAGTAAACAGAATATACGCATCAGGCAAGATAGTTGTCATGAAAACAAATATGAGTAAGAAGGTGTTCAAGCTGATCACAGATTCCATGACTTGTGACGTTTACCGAAGCTCCTTGATATACGAAGGAGATCAAATAATGGTACTTTATGAGAAATAAATTAGTGGTATTTGTAATCTTTTTCATGCCACCCTTAAGATGAACTTGAGGGCTTTACATGGTATGTGCAGGCGGAACTTCTGTTGGAGCTACCAAGAGAACAGTTACTAAATTGGATGTTCCAGTGCTTGTCAGAACTTCATGCATCACTCCCTGCTCTTATCAAATATTAGTTCCCCCTTCACAGTTTATCTTGCGTGTAGGATGTGTTAAAAGAAGCCGGACTCCTCAGCACTTGTGTTGCTGTGAAGTTTTCTTCATGGAGTGAAGAGAGTAAGAAGTTTTGTTCATGGAGTGAGGAGAGTAATATTTGCATAAATATCTACAAGGGCAGCATTTTAGTCAGGTACATACGTCTCAATCTGATTGAATCAACTTAGATTTCAACAGCGGTAACCTTTTCCTAATCCTTCCTCTTCTCCTGCTCGCAGCAGCTACCAGTTGAGATTCTATAAGCTTCTTCTCTATGATAATGAAAAGTGAAATCTTTCCATCTATGGAATAATTCCATGCAAAAGGAGGCATAGCTCGGGCCAATTACACGTTGAGATCATCAACCAATTACGAGTTGGTAAAGTTTGAAATCCATGTATTATGTATATTGTGGGAATTCGGATGAATTCAATAGTGGTTTTATGTAAGAACGAACCGGTGACGTAGTTTTCTGATGTTTGCAGCTGAATATTAATTTTTTGGCCCAGTAAAAAAGCCCATTTATATGTCCTTGACTCCTTATCCCCCAATTGTCTTTTTCTTCTTCTTCCTCTCTCGTCCCCTTGCGAATTGCGCGATTGATCAATCAACCTTACGATCGCAAAATCCATCTGTTTGCGAATCTATTGGTTATATATCTCTCCTTGTGATTTAATTCTACTTTCTTTCAGTTGCAGCATTGAGATTGATGTCTCTGTTGCAGGGAACTCTGGTTCCATGTGTTGGGTATTTTCCCTTTCGGTGTTTTACTGATTCATCTTGTGCATAGATTACAGAAGCTGGTTCCTCTGAATAATGAACGAAGAGGGCTGCGTCCCGCACATCACTGGTTAGTTAGTCTGTAACTCTGTACCTAATAGTAATTGCATCGCCTCTCCTTTTCTGACATGAGAGAACCGAGACCTGATCCATCTTCTGTTTGATACGATTGTGTTGAGCTCATTTAGTGCCTTCAATCCTTCTCACAGATTACTCAGCCGCCATGTTTTTATTTTATTTTATTTTTTATCGTTGTTGTTGTAGATCTTGTCAAACAAAAGTCTATAGATCAAAGAGCCCCTCTTTCCTGGGAGCCTAAATGCGTTATCTGCAGTCGTTATGGTGAGTACATTTGTGACGAGACCAATGATGATGTCTGCAGCCTCGAGTGTAAGCAAACACTCCTGAGAAGGGTTGACAACGCTAGAGTGTTTCCTGCTACAGACGAGTGCTTCTATGTTAGGGACACAGGATCTTCTTTCCCTGATGCTGAACTGCTTAGAAGGAAGCTTGAGATTCATGTCCAAGGACAAGGGGCAGCAGTCCCTCCACCTGTCTTGACTTTCACTTCATGTGGGCTTCCTCCTAAGCTTCTTCTCAACTTAGAAACCGCTGGCTATGACTTTCCCACTCCTATCCAGATGCAAGCAATTCCAGCAGCTTTAAGCGGGAAAAGTTTGCTCGCCTCGGCCGACACCGGCTCCGGGAAAACAGCTTCTTTTCTTGTCCCTATTATTTCTCGTTGTACAACATACCGCTCTGAGTATCCCTCAGACCAGAGGAGTCCCATGGCTATGGTTTTGGCTCCAACTAGAGAGCTCTGTGTCCAAGTTGAAGATCAGGCAAAAATGCTCGGAAAGGGACTTCCATTTAAGACTGCACTCGTTGTAGGTGGTGATCCCATGTCTGGACAACTCTACCGCATTCAACAAGGGGTTGAGTTGATTATTGGTACCCCAGGCCGAGTTGTGGACCTTCTAGCAAAACATGCCATTGAACTTGATAACATCATGACGTTTGTGTTGGATGAGGTTGACTGCATGCTTCAGCGAGGCTTCAGAGATCAGGTGATGCAGATATTTCAGGCCTTGTCAGAACCGCAGGTCTTGCTGTTCTCTGCAACAGTCTCAAATGAGGTGAAGAGGGTAGGAGGGTCTCTAGCGAAGGAAATCATTTTGGTATCCATTGGTAAAGCCAACAAACCCAACAAGGCTGTCAACCAATTGGCTATATGGGTTGATGCGAAGCAAAAGAAACAGAAGCTCTTTGAGATACTGAGAAGTCAAAAGCATTTCAAGCCCCCAGCTGTTGTTTATGTGAGTTCGAGAGTTGGAGCAGATCTCTTGGCTAATGCTATAACTGTCGTCACGGGGATAAAAGCTCTATCGATCCATGGGGAGAAGCCAATGAAGGAGAGGAGAGATGTAATGGGATCGTTTTTGAGTGGAGAGGTGTCCGTTCTTGTATCAACGGGAGTTCTAGGCCGAGGGGTTGACCTCTTGGTGGTAAGGCAGGTGATAGTGTTTGACATGCCTAATACCATCAGGGAGTACATACATGTAATTGGCAGGGCCTCTAGGATGGGAGAGAAGGGCACTGCCATTTTGTTTGTGAATGAGGACGACAGGAACCTATTCCCTGATTTGATTGCGGCTTTAAAAAGTAGTGGAGCAGCCATACCTAAGGAACTTATCAACTTGACATCCAGGGAAATGCAGAACAAGAAGAGGAGGGTTGGGCACTGAAATGTATGCTTCGGATACGAATGTTGTAGTATTTTAAGAATAGAAAGGAAGACTTGAGTGTGTATTAACGAATATAATGTACAAGGACAGAGGTTTACTTTGGAAAGAAATCATAATGACTTGTGATAAGATAACTTTTCGTGGGATTAAAAAGTGGAATGAACCTGACGCCAATAAAAAAGGAAGGGAGTTTGACTTACGGGTGGAACATAAGAACGCGGTTTTGGAGGAGTGCTGTAAGAAGGTCAATATACCCGCCAACAAACTGCCATCGTCTTTAATTAAGTGGTGAAATAAAAAAACCGAACTTTGGACCAACCTTTAGCCGTCCAAGAAAAGATCGTCCGCTTATCTTCCTGTCTCCTTCGCCCAGAAAGGTTTCAACTTTTCTGCTTATTTGAATCCTTATTCCTTGCATCTGTTTTAGATCCGATCGTCCCGATGTTTGGCGCATTCCCATTTTCCCAGATCCAATCGATTCACCCCTCTATCTATTATGTACACTTTGCTTTCCGTTTCCGTTTACCTTTGGGCTCCCTCCCCTCTTTCACGGTGTCTGTCATCTTCTCACGGTCCCGTGAAATTGTCGGGATATATTAATCATCTCTTAAATATATTTTTCCTCACGAAGATTATAGGTTGTGTAAACTACTCAAATTATTGAATAATTCAGTTCATTTGTGTCGCAGCCGCACGAACGAGTTTTAAAACATGGGGGACCCGTCGAGTTCAACCTCTTGGAGCAGTCAAAAGGAGACGGAAGATGATCGTATGATTGCTCTTATGTTATCTGAAGAGTACACTAAACTAGACGGTGCAGTCGGCAGACGCCTCTCAAATCTTGCTCCCGTACCTGTAAGCTAGGTTCTTGTACCAATAATACAAGGACTGTAATATTATTTGTGAAAACCTTTCTACATGCTTAGCTCTCTCTCTATCTCCCACTCTCTCTACATATAAGTTCTTCTTGGTTTGCAGCATGTTCCACGGATAAATACTTATATTCCCAATTTAAATGATGCTACCTTGGATCATCAACGCCTTCTTCAAAGGTTGTTTTGATGCTCACTTCTTCCCCTTTGTCAATATACTTAGGAACTCACTAGTTCTTGGGTAATTATTGTCTGATTTTTACTCCTCGAAAGAGAAGTTGTGTAGGATGCTTTCTTTCAGATATGCTTGCTAATTCTTAATTTTTCTTTTTCTTTGCAGGCTAAATGTTTACGGTTTGTGTGAGTTGAAGGTCTCCGGTGATGGAAACTGTCAGGTGCATTTTCATCTCATTTTGTTATCTCTCCGGTTTGTGAAATCTTATTGGGAATTGCATGTCTTTTCAGTTCCGAGCACTTTCTGATCAGTTATACCGATCTTCAGAGTACCACAAACAAGTTAGGAGAGAAGTTGTAAAACAGGTGAGGTGTCTTATGAAATCTGAGTGATGTACAAAGGCAACCATCTATATGTCTGTGTTTTATGGTTATTATTAACCATTGTAGTTGTTGGAGTTATTCTTTTGCGAGATAGATATATGTTTAAAAATTAGGTGCCCACATCCTTCTCCTTATCCATTTCCTAATTGCTCTTTTCTCTTCTTATTTAAGCTCAAAGACAATCGCTCTATGTATGAAAGTTATGTTCCGATGAAATACAAACGATATTACAAGAGGATGGCAAAGTATGTTGTGCAAACATAATCTTTTTTAGTTAGGCTTTTGAGCTCTAATTTGTTTGTTTTAGAAATGTTTCACACCCAAAATTACTTAAATTACAGACTTGGAGAATGGGGAGACCATATTACCCTACAAGCTGCGGCAGATAATGTAAGTTTCCTTTTTGTCTCAATTTTAAAACGCTTAAAATACTTATCTTTGCTTCGTTCTCATGTCACCCTGCTCTAATTCTCAAGAAGACACTTATGTTTCTTTTTTTTTATTATCTTGTTTAATTCATGTATTTTTTGTTTTCTCTTTATGGATTACATTAATAGATGAACATTTCTTATCCTGAGAATAGATATAACGTTTACATACAAACTCTTTTGGCTTTGGGCTCTAAGACCAGTGCCTATGAGAAATAACCTATAATTTAGTGTAGTTTTCCTTTTATGTTGATTACAAAATTTTCTTTGTATCTCCCTGTGCAGTTTGCAGCAAAGATATGTCTGTTGACATCTTTCAGAGACACTTGCTTCATTGAAATTATACCTCAATACCAAGCACCTAAGCGTGGTTAGACTAAAATCTTTTGTTTTTTCTTTCACCTTCACGTATTGCAATTTGATGTGACGTGAAATATGAGAACTGCATTGTTACAAAGTTGTGACTATTTATCTTTGAAACTGTGTAGAGATATGGTTAAGTTTCTGGTCAGAGGTGCATTATAACTCTTTATACGATATTCAAGGTTTGTTTTTTGCTTTGGAATGTTACGAAATGATGGCTTTGTGCTTGATGATACTGATTATGAATTTTCTTTTGTGAGTGTAGCTGCTCCAGATCAGCAGAAGCCAAAAAGAAAACATTGGTTGTTCTAGAAGGCATGCGGCATGCCTCTCACACGTCTCATATTAAGTCCCTTTAACAATTTTCTAGTCGGTTTTGTGCATAAGTCAATATTCTCCTACGTCATAACTATTTCTTCACACTTCTGTCTGTATACATACGAACTAGCTTGAGCTGTAACATTTTTAAGCCGAATATGATAGTGGTGGGAACAAGGCAAATAAATTATGACAATTTCAGTAACCTCACGGGAATAGAACTTTAGAATTCGACTGAAAGCTTGTCAGCGGCAGCCATAGGGGAAGCTTTTCGGTTGATAATAGACCTGGATTGTCATGACTTAACCGGCCCATAATCATATGTCATCCATAAGATTGTATGTACTAGCCGAAATTTCTTCTTGTGCATTTGAAAGATGAACCATTTAAATCCCATAGACCATTTTGTTGAAATGCTTGTCCACTTTTCAGCCTCCTATGGTGTAGCCATCCATTTTATAGTGCTCTCTATGCAGTCACCAATGATGTTCATATGTGGTTAGGTTCCACCTATACTATAACATCTTGTAAGGCCTTTTGTTTGTATTGAAAATTGGATCATACTTTAATTTCCATATCCACAATAGGATTTATATATAGTTCAAGATCCAAGATTCAGTCCTTAGATTAGAGTCTTTAATTACTTAACTTTCTTTTTCGTTCAAATTCTCCATCTTTTCCTGTTAATCTATACACATTGTTCAGAGGTTAATGTGTCCTTTGACCAACTCAAAGAAGCTATGGTGAAAAAATAATGTAGAAAGAGGTGATCTTGAGTCTCCGTTGCTGTAAAGTGGAGAAACTTGTAATCCCCACGAAGCTAGCCGTGCCATTGTTTGTAGTCTATTAAGGTTTGTAATCCAGAGATTGAACCGTTTGAACCTTTAAACCAAATCAGGTCAGCCTAGTCCTTTACCGGTTCTCTAGGCCTTAGAACCTCCCAAGTTTTGCTTGAAGAGTAGCCACCAACCGGCTTGTCATCTATTACCCATTCACAAGAGTCTTTGTAATGTGAACTCGAAGGAAGAGTAACCGTTGATAGAAAGGAGTGAAGTGCCACTGCTAAATCTGATCTCTGACTTACTAGATTCTAGCCAACAAGGTTGCAAGATGCACTCACTTTTGTGTTCAAGTGGATTCTTAAGCTTCTTGGCCCTCTTTTAGCTTTAAAAAGCTTTCCGGAACCAGGAATCAGCTGCTTTTTGCTTTACACTCTTCTCCTTACCTGTAAAGCTCGACTCTATTTCACCTTAAAACAATTTAACTTCATACCATAATTAAGATGCAAAAACTTAGTAGTAAAAAGCTTAAGAAATAAGAATTCATAATCCGAGAGTCAAAACTCAAATAATACAACAATTTAATAAATACAATGTACGTATAAGTAAAACCATATCGTCTTCTTAAATATTTATTTAATGGTAAGTGTTAAAAAATATTTTTTTAGGGTTTAGGGTATTGATTTTACTGTTCAATAGTTATTGTTCACATCTTAGGGTATAGGGTTACTGTACATGAATTACTGTACAAGTTTAAAGTTTACTGTTCAATAGTTACTGCTCACATCTTAGGGTTTAGGGTTTCTGTACATTTAATGTTTAGGGTATGGGGTTACAGTACATTTAGGGTTTGGGGTTACAGTAGTACATTAAGGGTTTAGGGTTACAGTACATTTAGGGTTTGGGGTTACTGCACATTTAGGATTTAGGGTTACTGTACATTTAGGGTTTAGGGTTACTGTACATTTAGGATTTAGGGTTACTGTACATTTAGGGTTTAGGGTTACTGTACGTTTAGGGTTATTGTAAATTTAGGGTTTAGGGTTATTGTAAATTTAGGGTTTAGGGTTATTGTAAATTTAGGGTTTAGGGTTATTGTAAATTTAGGGTTTAGGGTTACTGTACATTTAGGGTTTAGGGTTTAGGGTTTAGGGTTTAGGGTTTAGGGTTTAGGGTTTAGGGTTTAGGGTTTAGGGTTTAGGGTTTAGGGTTTAGGGTTTAGGGTTTAGGGTTTAGGGTTTAGGGTTTAGGGTTTAGGGTTTAGGGTTTAGGGTTTAGGGTTTAGGGTTTAGGGTTTAGGGTTTAGGGTTTAGGGTTTAGGGTTTAGGGTTTAGGGTTTAGGGTTTAGGGTTTAGGGTTTAGCCTTTAGGGTTTAGGGTTTAGGGTTTAGGGTTTAGGGTTTAGGGTTTAGGGTTTAGGGTTTAGGGTTTAGGGTTTAGGGTTTAGGGTTTAGGGTTTAGGGTTTAGGGTTTACCGCTTAGGGTTTAGGGTTTAGGGTTTAGGGTTTAGGGTTTAGGGCTTAGGGTTTAGGGTTTAGGGTTTG